ATTTCCTTCTTAAAATTGATTTTCTGAGGCATTTCATCACAGTGTTAGAAAGATAACACCCAGACTGACAGCTTTGACAGCTTATTGACAAGCTATGATGTCTTCTTTCATAGTGTCTGTGTTGCATTTCTCCATATTTTCTAGACAGAGTTGATAATGGAGGGTGGTCACCTTTACCTCTCTCCTTATCTCTATGAAGACAATATCACTTAAGATGAAAAGTTATCAGTCAGAGAACTACAGTATTCAGATGTACAGTATGAGCATTTTACTCTGAATCCAGCTCATGCAATTTATTTACTTGATTCTGGTTTTCATGAACATATAGTTTATAGCATGGAAAACTATATAAGTCAAATTTTACAGATTAAATCACAAATTAAAGACTCTAGAAAGAAATTAAATTATGAAAAATTATGACATCAAGCATACCTTACAATAATAACAGACACACAGAGACACATACATATTGCATAAATCTTTTCATTTTTGGAAACCAAGTATTACTGCTATACTATTACAATTTTAGAGTGCATTGTTCCATTTTTAAAGATTTTTCCTATTTATTTTTATAAAAAATTATTTATTATTTTTATATGTTTGAGTGTATTGTCTGTATGTAACTGCACCTGTGTTGTGCAATGCCTGTGGAGGTCAGAAGAGGGTGTTGGATCCCCTGGAACTGGAGTTAGGACAGTTGTTAGTTGCCATGTGTGAACCTGGGTTTTCTATGGGAGCAGCAAGTGCTCTTAACCACTGAGTCATCTCTCCAGCCCCTAGAATTATTCTTACATTAGGTTATTTCATGAATTTTTTCTTCAAAATATTTTTATGGAATTTTGTGCATTTTAAACAAAACATCTTTTTTAAAAAAATTATTATTTTTATTTTATGTGTATGCATGTATTGCCTGCATGTAGGTAAGTGCACCCGTGTCATGCAATGCCTGCACTGGTCAGAAGAGGCTGTCAGATCCCCTGGGACTGGAGTTATGGACAGTTAGCTGCCATGTGGGTGCTGGGATTTGAACCCAGGTCTTCTGCAAGAAGAGCCAGTGTTCTTAACAGCTGAGCTATCTCTCCAGCCCCTTATACAAAACATCTTAATCATCTTTACATTCCCTCCTGCATCTGCACCCTCCCATAGCTCCCCCCGCCCACCAGATTTTATGCAGTCTATCATTTATGTTAAGGCCTATTGAGTTAAGTAAATGTCCCCAGATGTCCCTTGGTACAAGTTTATTCACTGGGGATAACGTATTTAATCAGCATATTTAGAGTCACTCCCTTAAAGAAGATCAGCTCTTCCTCACCCAGTAGTAATCAGCTGCCAATTGTTCTTTGGCTAAGAATGGGGCTTGCTGCCCATTTCCCAGTTCTATGCTGGGGTTTTGACCACTTGCATTCGCATGAGATGCTGACACCATTGCGGTAGATTCATATGAACAAGGTCCCTGGAGCCTGTAAGACTGTTTCCATACAGTCATGCACCTGCTCCCCTGGCTCTTACAGTTTTTCTGCTCCCTACTGGCAATCTTCCCTGAGCCCTGGAAGGGTGTAGTTTAATACAGGAGTCCTGTCCAAGGACCCACACTAAGCAGACTTTTATTCTCTATGCTTTGGCTATGTATTTTAAAAGTCGAAAACACCCTATTTTTAAAGAGAGTCTTTGACTGCAAAGAAAGCACACAGATTCCCTTAAAACTACTGTGTAACAAGTCTGTGCCTCTTACTATGATGAAAACTAGTTAAGAAAGAACAAAAATATTTGATGATGATTTGAGATCTACCTTCTTTGGTTCTCGTAAACACTATTCAGTAAAAGAAGACAAA